ATCTGCAGCATCTGGTCTTTGTGATGTTATGGACTTTTTTTTTTTTTTTTTTAATGGATTAGCACAGAACGTTTTCAAAATCAGGATTCCTTCAGCTTCTGTCTTTTTAGTTCAAAACATTGACACTGGAGTCCTCAGAAAGATAATTTTGATTCAGCCAAAGTTCATATCCGACCTATGTTTTTTCAATTTTGACCATGCCCTACTTCTGTCCAAGTCATCTGGAAGATGGTTAGCTGTTGTCCTCGTATTGACAGAGTGCCTTGCTTTGATTCCAGTCCACTGAAATTTTACCCCAATACCTTGAACATAATGTATTCACCAAGGAGATGGGCCAAACTGTATTTTGGCTTTGTACTTGACTGTGCATCAAAGCTAGAAAAGGTTTTGTGCAGGTTAAGAGGGGAATCTTGAGAAATTAATCACTGTTGTGAGATTTTTAAACCAAGCTGACGTTAAGTTGTATAAGAACAGTTCTTTTATTATGTGCTCCTTGATTTCAGGATAAAATTTTACAAGTTGTTGTTCATACTGCAGCTTAGCTTTGGTGCCTTCATAGGGGAAAAACATCTTTTGTCACCTTTAATAATGTTAAGAGTCATTCTCTATCCCTCCCAATATGAAATATCATAGAATTTTTATTTAAAAAAAAAAAATACTTATACTGGTAAGAACCCATCTATTTTAAGCTGTAAAAATACATTTTCCTTTTGCAGAATTGATATGAGAGTCATTCTGCTTTGCAGAACACGTGAGATGGACATGGTTTTTGCCATTAAATTTAAGTCAGAACATGGTATCTTGTATGGAAGTTTTTGTGGAGTACAGTATTTCTATAATAAATCATTATGCATAACAGCTTCTTCAGCACTGTTTTGGTTACTTGGGGTTGTTTTCAGACCAGAATCCCAGTTTGTGGTACTAGACCTGAAGCTTCAGTTCAGTTCCCACAGAACCTAATCATGTCGCATAAAGTCAACCTTGCTTTGCTTTTTTCTTTCACAATTTTGAATGACAGACTTCACTAATAGGCTTCCGTAAGGCCCGCTCCTCTGTGCTGAGGAGAGACAATTATCTCAGCCATCCTCAGTGTACTATCACCTCAGCTCATTTAGGTGTGCTCAAAAAGACAAATAATAATCATTCTTGCAGAAAGCTCTCGCAGGTTGATTTTCATGACATGACGCTTAATGATCAAACCAAACTGTGATTATTTATGTCAGCTCACATTTGACTACAGTGAAGTAATAAACAGTTTTATCTTTTTTCCCTTGAAAATCCTGTTTTCTATTGGAGGTATTTTAGCAAAGTGGATTTGTTTTGTATTGATGTCCAGCTGAAGGTATATCAAAATTGACTGCCTGTGAATGGGTGTTTTTAAAGCAAAATTTGTTCAAAGATATTCACTTCTGCTTTTAAAATAATTTTTTTGAAAGTCCAAACATCACGATTTTCTTTTTACTCTTTGGATGTTCTCTTTGCAAACTCCGTTTCCAGCTCCGTTTCCTTGATAGCTGCTGCCGATCCTGCTGGATACGATCCGTAGGGTGGGCACAGCCGGTGGAGGGGCCGGGGCCAGCCCTCTGCAGCTCAGGCGGTAACTGGCTGGGGTGCTTTGAAAGGTAAAACAGAGCATGAAGTTTGTCATGGAAAAGGTTCTCAAGAACTATGATCTTTTTGTGACCAAATACTATAAATAATCCATCTTTTCCTCAGTCCTATAGGTTAGAAAAATTGTAGCAATTTCTACTGTTGTTTCTTTCCAGGAGCATTTTGCAATCCTAGAGACAATAAATAATTTCTTGACCAGTTTGGTTGTGAATTATTTTCTGTGTCCTGGAGATATTTCGCTCAGAAGGGCAAGCCAACAAATCGTGATCAGGCAGTGATAGATCGGCTCCTCAGTGCTGCGCATTCTTCTTGCTGCTGTCAGAGGCATCTCGGAGCTTTGGTCGGTGCTTTCTCTGACCCTCCTTAGTAGTTTATCCAGGTTCTCGCTTCCAGTCAATTTGTTGCATCAGAAGTGTTGGAGAATGAAATGTACTTCTTTACTGCTTGGGCACGTTGGGTTTAGCATCTCTTTTCCCCGTGGTATCTGCTGGAGGCACCTTCCCACCCGTTCTTTAGTACGTCCTTCCTGCGTCGGGTGTGGTCTGCGTGGCGGTGACGTGCCACCCACCGTTTGCCATCGGGCATCACAACAGTCAAAGACACGAGTCTCTGGGTTTAACCTGCTCACTCAGTCCTACGTGGTGGTCATCCTTGTCCAGATCTTCCGCTGAGGTAAATTAGTGTTATGCTCCATTTTCTCCCATTGAGGCTTGACCCCAAATTTGGATGGAAGCGGAAAACAATTACATACATCCTTTCTTTCTTTTTGATTTATCTATGGTTAAAAGAGGTGTGGCCTTTTTAGTAGTGTAGCATATAAAAATTGCATGGTATACCTTTGAGTAACTTGTGAGCTGTCTGGAGACTCTCACTCCTGTCTCTTCTTATGAAGCAACCGGTGCCATGCAGTTGCTGCCCGGTGTGTAATCCAGCCTTGCGTGTTACATGCAAACACTTATTTAGACCTTATCGTGCCAATGGGTTTTCCTTACAGTGCCGAAAATGAAAAACACACCATGCGCAGTCTGTGTCAGAGCAGGATAATGTTGAAACCCAAAAGCACTTGCTAGTGGCACTGGGAAGGCTCTAGGTTAGTTTAGATCTCTGGAGCTTGTACAAGGGAGTTGACAGAAGCTTTATAATGAGCCCCCAAGCCCTTTTGTCCCCTTGCATAATTCGAAGATCTCACAAAACAGACTGAAAGAAGTATCCATAGACCAGCTGAAATTTATTTAAATGTAATCGGAACATTTGTATCTGTCCTAGCACCGTCCATGTGCTCGGGCGGCCGTCAGTGTGAACAGATCCCGTCATGATTGGAGCGGGGTCCGGCTAATGAGCGGTTCCCCCGCCTCGGACGTGAAT